CTTTTCACCAACCTAAAAAATAAAACAATGAGAAACAAGAGGAAAAGAAGTGAAACTAGTCCACTCTACTTGATAAGTTTTTTTTTTTTTAACTTTCTACCTGATAAGTTGATAATATATTTCAATTATTTTTGAAACGATAATATATTTCAATCACATGTTGACTTCTCAAGACCTATAACCCAAACTACTAAGCCCCAAATTGTATATAAACCCCATCATACGCTAGTATTCTTCTTCATCAACAACATTCACTCTCTCATTGTTCACTCTCACATTTTCATAGGATATAAATCATGGTAAGCCAAATGAAATCGCTTTTCTTCTTATTCATTTTCCTTGTTCTATCCAAAACCGTCATATCGGCTAGAAAACCATCAAAATCGCAACCAAAACCGTGCAAAAGCTTCGTTCTCTACTACCACGACATAATGTTTGGCGTCGACGACGTGCAAAACGCAACTTCTGCAGCCGTTACCAGCCCGCCGGGTCTCGGGAATTTCAAATTCGGAAAACTCGTGATCTTCGACGATCCAATCACCTTAGACAAAAACTATCAATCCGAACCCGTGGCACGTGCTCAAGGGTTCTATTTCTACGACATGAAGAACGATTACAATGCGTGGTTCGCGTACACACTCGTGTTTAACTCGACCCAACACAAAGGGACGTTGAACATAATGGGAGCAGATCTTATGATGGAGAAGGCAAGAGATTTGTCTGTGGTTGGAGGGACAGGTGATTTCTTCATGTCTCGAGGGATTGTTACGTTTGAGACTGATACCTTTGAAGGTGCCAAGTATTTTAGGGTCAAGATGGATATTAAACTCTATGAATGTTACTAAGACTATAATTAAATGGAGAGAGAAAGAGTGATACTTTGAAACTTTTGATAATTGAATAAGTTTAAGTTTTGTAGCAATCCTAATTTTGGGTACTCTATTAGACTTTCTGTTTATGCCATGTCTTGTTTTATATAAACAAACATTGTATTGAGATATACTCTTCGATATCATTTTCAATCTTGCTTTTGCATTTTTATAATTGTAATCACGGTCCATATCGAACCTTCCATATTGAAGCTTTCCTTATAATCTATTTTGATCCCGATTCCGCCTTTAGATATTTCAATTTATCCTAAAAATAATCTGAACCTGAAACACAACATAATTTTTTTGTGTGTGTTACAATTAGACCACCATCTCTTTCATACCTTCAAAACATCTTTACGATTCTTTTTCTTCATATTCATGAAACTAATAATATGTTGCTACATAAGAGTATTTTCTGTTATACATCTTTTCTTGTGCTGCAAGGTAAGGAAAACAAATTCCTCTGTCTCCAGTTTCTCATAGCGTCTCCACCACCGCAACAGAGGCTAAACCCACGACGGAAGGAGTTTCCACGGTGTACTGTTGAATTACCAAAACCGACACCGAAGAAGAAATCTCCTTCGACACGATCAAGGTCAAGTTTCCAACCGGTCCGAGTTCCGGACACTCTATCTTCATAATTGGTAATCTCGAAACTACGGATCCTTTCGACGATTTCCCAACCAATACAAGATCGCACTGAGAGTATTCTCGGATAATTTCAACGGTTTCCTCTGCCGAATTCACCAATCTCTCCTCAAATCTTATCGCATTGGCACCTTTCTTGATATCAGCAAGGAATTGCTCGTCTAACAAATCTTGCGCTTCAAGTATGTCAAATCTTGAGATCTCTGGACCGGAGATAACCACAACAAAAGTCAAGCTAACGCCGGGGTGCTCCGCCATTCGTAAACCGTAAACCAAAGCTTCACGGTCATCACAACCACCAAAGAAGAGTACATTGACGGAAAGCGAAAAGCTGCTCGAAGCTACCGAATAATCGTTGTCACCGAGACCGCGATCGACCAAGATTCCGACAGAACACGGAGAATTCTCAAGAACTCTTTTGTTAATCCCTTGAAATTCCGATCTCACCGTTTCAAATTCTTTCTCCAGTGATCTCCACTGCTTATGAAACGGCAAAATCACAAACGCTGCGCGTTTTCTATCAGCAGAGCTACATGTATCTTCATGAATCGTTGACAAAGGTGAAATTGCGGTCACAGAACGCACTGAAACTCTACTTAGCTTATCAGACGCTTCAAACGCGACCATAACCGCGCTAGAGTTATCTCTTTTCTTGTTCCAAAACGGCAAACCGTTTCTTCTCGCCTTTTGAACCATTCGAATCGAAGAAGGTCTCTCCGAGAGTTGAGTTAAATGCATAACGTAAACGCAGAAGCTTTCTTTGGTTTCGTTGCTTCCGCGAGAAGCTTCGATTATTTTCATCATCGGCTTAATATCTCTACTGCTTTGAAGACATACCAATACCTTAAGCTGCTGCGTTTTCTCGTCTTCGTTATCGCTCTCAATC